GATGACCGTTGCCATGGGCACAGCTACTCTCAGCGCGCTCAGCCACTGGCTGTGATTCCATTCCTCTGGGCAGCAGGCCTGGTGGCCTGTGGGTGTGACAGAGCCACAGCTGGCCACGGGCACTTCAAAGATGGCCTCCAGCTGAAGGCTGTGGCGCAGGACGGAGGGAGCATCTAGGCCTTGGTCCCAGTGGGATCAGAGTAATTCAAAGATTCCCAATGGGGGCCCCTGGGGGGGCTACTGTGGATCCATGGAAGTCCTGGAATGTTTCATGAAATTGAGACTGGTGAATGAGCACTTTCTGGAGAGGGGCTCATGACTTTCACAGAGGCCAGGGAACCCCCACAAAGTAAAGTGCAACAGCAGTGATGAAGCCCACCTTTTCTGGCCAGGAAGAGGCAGAGGTTGGGTTGGGGCAGAGCAGGGGACAGCCTCTTTTCTCACTCCACAAAAGTGACCCCTTGAGATCCTGGCAAACACCTTTTTAAACTGTTTAATTGGCTTTGTCACCCTCTACTTACAGGGACTTATGACTTCCCCTGCTGTTAGAACAAAACCCAAATGTATGCTGGCCTGGGCACCTCTGGGTTTCATCCTCCACTATTGCTCCTCATCCCCCCTTGTTCTCCAGGCTCCGGCCACCTTGGCCTTTCTCTGTCCTTAGAACATGCTGCTTCTTCCCCTTCCTCAGGGCCTTTGCACTAGCTGTTGCCAGCCTCTCTTCATGACCTGCTCTTTCTCTCCCTTCAGATCTCAGCTCAAATGTCACCTCCGCAGAGAGTTCCTCCCTGCCCACCCCCCATATAAATCAGGGCTCCGTAATCACTTCCCGTCACACTGCCCTGTGTACTATCCTTCACTTCGTGTTTTGCTCTCTGGATCTACTGTGCATCTCCTCCACTGGACCTTGAGCCCCTTGAGATGTGGGGGCCTTATCTGTCTTCTTTTTGCAGGATCCCCCTGATCCTAGCTCAGGGCCTTGCACGCAGTAGGTGCTCAGCAAACAGGAGCTGAATGACTTCGTCTTCCAGACAATTCTCCCCCAGGCCAGATCAAGGGCTGATTAAGGGTTAACCATCATCATAGCTGCCCTTTACCAGGCACCCTCTAGGCTCCAGGTGCCATACACAGTGCTTTGCATGTGTGGTCTCGTTTGATTTTATAAGCGGAGTGTTGATTTCACTGGAATTATGAATACAAAACAGGGGCTGGTTACAGTGGTAAGAGGTGTCCATTGTAGATTGTCAGAGCTGGGAAGGAGCTTTGAACCACCTAATCCCTTGATTTTAAAGATGAGGAAACTGAGGGCTGGCCCGTGGCTCACTCGGGAGAGTGCGGTGCTGATAACACCAAGGCCCCGGGTTCGGATCCCATATAGGGATGGCCGGTTGGCTCACTGGGTGAGCGTGGTGCGGGCAACACCAAGTCAAGGGTTAAGATCCTCTTACCAGTCATCTTTAAAAAAAAAAAAGATGAGGAAACTGAGGCCCAAAAGGGAGAAGAGACTTGCCCAGAGTTACAACGGTGGATCAGAGCAGACTGAGGAATAGTGGCCAGATTCCACCATGTTTTCTGGGGTGTTCCTTGTTGATTTGTGAACATGGGCCCTGCTGTATCTTTGAGAACAAGGAGTAAGTGAACGTGCTACAGTTTAAGTACTGCATTGGTGGCCAGGTTGTCCCTTCAGGAGCCCCTGGCAGGGTGCAGCATCATATTAAGTAAAAACATTAATAAAAGCCAGTTATTGAACATCTTCTATGTGTCAGGCATTTTACAGCCATTATTTTATGTAATCCTGCAAGGTAGAGGTGTTTCTGTCCCATTTTACAGATGCAGAAACTGAGCCTCAGAGAGGTGAATTGACTTGCCTGGATCACAAAAATTACAAAATTACAAAAATTACAGAATCTGGACTTAACTCCAAAAACTGTTAGGTGGTGGCGGTGCTGATGGTAGTGGTGGTAACAGGAGCAGTACTAGTGCTAAAAGTAGTAAGACACACCTATGTCTGAAGTCAGAACCCTAAAGCACTCGCTAGAGGGCCTTCGTACTTTCCCAACAGTGTTGAAGTAGGGCTCTTCATTTAGCTCTTGGGAAACAACTCGAGCTCGCTAGGAAGGCAAGCCCCTACGCCCCATCGCGCACCCCCACTTTGGGCGCGGGCCGGAGGCTGGGGGCGCGGGGAGGCGCGTCCTGGCTGGGACTCCCCGCCGAGCAGTGCGGACATCGCCACCTACTGGGCCCCGCGGGAGCTGCAGGCGTTCAGTGCGCAGGCTGGGGACCAGTGTGAACGAGGGGACCCCATCAACCAATCAACAAAACCGAAGGGAGATGTCCTTCCTCCATTCTTCTACAACCTCCAGAAAATGATGATAATCGGGTCAACGCTGAACGATTATGCAGCTAAATGCCTGCCTGGGCAGTTTCATTGACTCTTGGTGAGGTGGGAACTGTTAGTGTCCCCACGGTATGGATGAGGAAACGGAGGCTCAGAAAGGTGAAATGATTTGTCCAAAGCCACTTCGCTAATAAACAGCTTAGTCAGGACTCCAATACTCGATTACATCACTGCACACCCCACGTCACATTCCTGCTAAGCCAGCTAACTTACTATGCTTCCAACGTTAATTGCTTCACAAATAGTAACATTTAACTTAAGCCTCACAACAACCCTGTGAGGTGCGTGTTAGCAAGACCTCCGTGTTACAGATAAGGAAACTGAGGCTCTGAAGGGGGAGGTGAGCTTCAGTTTCTTCTCTATAATAGCGATGTATTATAATGGGTTTGAAATATTGTAGAATGGGCTTAGTGAATTTTAACTGAATGAATCAGCAAGTGAATAAATGAGTCACATTTGGAAAAACTTGTATGCTAATTCGGATTTCTGTGCAGTATCAGATTGACCTGGGTCAGATAAGGCAGCTTCCCATCAGTGGGAACACACTGGCAGGCAGTATGTTGGAAGGCGGGCTCATTCTGTCAGTTGGAGTCAGACAAAAAACCCCAGTGCCCCTACATCTAGCTGGGTCACCCTGGGTGAGTCCTTTGCCACATCCCAGGGGGGCTCAGTTTCTGATCTAATAAACGAGATTCCAGATGCCCACATCTCAGGTGGCTGTGACATGATGTGTGTAAAGCAATTTTGCAGCGCCTCATATACAGTGTTTTTTCCTCCCTGTCTGATGGTGTTTGAATGTGTTGTCCCCTCCAAAACTCATGTGGAAATTTGATCCCCAGTGTGGCAGTGTTGGAAACTGAGTCATGGGGGCAGATGCCTCAAGAATGTATTCATGCTCTCCCTGGGGGTGGGGGTCCTGAGTAAGATCTAGCTCTATTAGTTCCCGTGAGAGCTGGTTGTTTATAGGACCCTGGCACCTGCTCTTGCTTCTTCTCGCCGTGTGATGTATTTGTACCCACTGGCTGCCTGCCACTTTCGGCTATGAGTAGAAGCAGCCTGAGGCCCATGCCAGATGCAACTGTCCCAGAATCATAAGCCAAATAAACTTCTTTTCCTTATAAATTACCCAGTCTCAGGTATTTCTCTTATAGCAACACAAAATGGACTAATACACTGCCCCAGGCAGAACTCAGTACCACTTTGACAAAGATGAAATGGGAAAGGCGTAGATGCCCAGCTGGCTTTGTCTCTGGGGTCAAAAACCCAAACTGCAGGTAGCAGGAGAGGCAGCTGGTCTGGGAAAATCCATAACTTCCACAAAGAAATTGCCCCCTGGTCCCACTGTATTATGTTAGAGATACAAAGAAAAGGTCATTTTTAAATAAAGACACAGAATTCTTTTAATTTTCTGTCAGAATTTTGTATTTCTAGAAAACTCAAAGGGAAAAAAACCTAAAAAGCAATTAGAGCTTAGAAAGAACAGTAGCATTCCGAATTATCAGCAATATTAGAAAATATAATGAAAACAGAGATAGTAAAAAACTCTCAGGCTTCCATCCCTTGACCGTGTCAGAAGGAGCCTTCCAAACTGGATATCTGCGTATATCTGGATATATTAGATTGTGCACAAGAAACTTGAAGGTGTTCCATACTTTAGGGTCAAGTTCAAATCCCTTGATAGCTCAATGTAACACACTCACAGCCTACTCTGGGTCAAGCCACCAGATCTTTACCTATGCCTTGGAGTGTCCCTCTCACCCCCATCACCCAACTTCCATTGAGGCTCAGTGGAAGCCCTGATTTCCTAAGGCGCATCCCAGGATGCAGCCTCTTACCTGCAGCCCCAGGTTCCCACTGGGCAACGACCACTCTATATCATTGTTATTGATGTACTGGTTCATCTTCCTCACTAGACTATCAGCTCTGCAAGAGCAGGAATAAAGTAAAATAAATATGCCCCTCTACAGTTAACTCTAGTATCAGAAAAAGCATCAGCCCATGATAAAGCGCAAATAACCATTGGTCACAGGGTTTTGGGAAGCAACAAGGATAGGTGGGGACTGAGGCAGAGGAGTGAATACCTCCTTCCTCTCCTTTCCCTGCCCAGCCAAGGGTGCAGTCATCTCCCAGCTCCTGCCAAGCAGTCTGATTTTTCAAGAGCAGCTAGAAACCTGAGATTTTTATGTGAAATCCCCAAGTTTCTCAATGTGGCAGCCAGTTCTATGTTTTTAAAACCACGGAGGCCAGAAAGCAGGTCCTTAGCAGATCTGGTGTAAGGGTCCCCACTGTAACCTCTGATGCAGGAAAAAAAAAAAAAAAAAAAAATCAAGAACCAAAACAGCACACAGATGTGATTCCAAAATAGAGATTTATTTATTAAGGATTGTTTAGTTTCTGCATAAAAATTACTAATTGTTCCTCATTGGGTTTTTTTTTTTTTTAAAACACATCAATTCTTTTGGGGTTGCTTTTTTTGCCCCAACAGTTTTAAAAATATAGCTCTTTTTAGTGCCAGGAAGGACAATTAAGGCAGCGAGGCATTTTCTTGGATCTCAGCAGTTGGAAGGTTCATCTCACCCCCTTGAGAGAATACTCGTGGTAGGTAGTTCCTTAGGTTGGAAAAGCTGTCCCTGAAGAAAACAATTATGTGGAAGAATGCAAATACAGTACAGTCACCTACAGTCAATTGTTTGTGTCCAATAGCTTTAAAAGAAATGCCTCTTGGTCATCAAAGCCTTGCTGGTTGGTTTCAGCTATAAAAAAAACTGTCAGTCAAGACAGTCAAAAAGAGTAGGATTTATAATGACAGTGCTGTGAGGTTAGGCTCTGCAAACCACATAATGCACACAAGTTTGCTTTTTAAAAAAAATCCCACAATAGGGGCCCTGCATAATTTCAAATCAAACACTTCATAGTCTTTAACATACCTAAAACAGCATTCAGTGAGATCTTTATAAGGACATGTGCTTATTTTTACAATGAGGTGTATGACACCATTGCCCTAAAGCTGTGCTACACAGGAGGGAAAAAACAAAAACAAAAAACCCTAGGACTTGATTCATTAGAAACATTAATAGATTTTTACCACACTGAAATGAAGGTGTAAAGTCAGTCTGTGCTATTGTGAAATCCAAAGGAGATTTGGAAGTAGGATTGTTACTTATTGCTCCATTAGAATAGACAAAAAAAAAAAAAAAAAAAAAAACTTTCATGAAACCAGGGCCATTCCCTGAAGACCCTGGCTGGACTCTGGGCCGCTCTGGGGGATGTAGGCCAGGGGCAGCGGGCCGGCTTGATTCACAGTGATTCGGGTTTGCCTGTTTCTGCGAGTGGCATGTGCCGGGGGCGAGCCTGCTACTGGGCATGCCTACACCTTGTAGTTGAGCTCAGCATTCATCTTAGTGTACATCTCATAGATGACATCAATGGTGGCTGTGTAGTTGATCAGGAAGAGGCGGACTTTCTCCAGGCATTCCTCCTCCGTCACGTTCTGCCCCTTGGAGAGCGCTTTCAGGAAGTCAGACTTATAGGGTGCCGCATACAGCGCTGCCTTAAGATGGGCAAGAGGGAAGGGGAGTACAGCATTAGCAGGGACTGAGACACCAAGCCAGCAAGCCAGGGTTCTGGGAGGGGACCTCCCCAAGGTCCATGCTGGGCAGGGGTCTGTGCTATTCGTTGGAAGGGAAAGGAAAAGGAAGAGGGAGATGTGTTTTCCCTTCTACCCTTGTGAGGGACAGCAGGAAGGAAACCAGCTTTGGGGACAGACAGACCTGGGTGCAAATTCCAGCTTGTGCCGCCGACTAGCTGTGAGCCTTGAGCAAGTTACTTAGCCACTCTGAGCCTCAGTTTCCTCATCTGTAAAATGGGGATAATAATGGCACCCACCTAATCAGGCTGCTTTTGTAAGGATGAAGGAGGTTATGTGAAGTGTTCAGCACAGCAGCAGGCACACGGTAGGTGCTCAGCCTCGTCCTTCTGGGTTCCCTGCTCTGGAAAAGGTGAACTATTTCTTCAGAAAACCCATTTTCTGAGCAGTGGAAACAACTGCTAGTCTGTGCTGTGGTCTTTCTTTTGTCCTTAGGGGGATGACACTTCCCTACATTTCAGTGCAGAGAATCAGAAATTCACAGAATTTCAAAGCCAGAAGGAAAAAGATGCAACCAGATAAAGAGCTTAGGCTATGAGTTTGATAAATGAGGAAAGTACAAACGATAATATCATTAACAGTAAAAGTAGTAGTAACTTCGATTTATTGAGTATAAACCACATGCCAAGCATTGTATATAGGTCAAGTCATTTAATCATCGCAGTGATCCTTTGAAGTGGGCCTATTTTATACCCATTTGAAAGATGAGGACACTGAGGCTCAGGAAGGTAGAATCCCAGCCCCCCATATTTGTACTGTGTGACCTTGAGCCAGATACTTAACTTGTCTGAGCATCATTTTCCTCCTCTGTGAAATGGGGGTGAGAGTACCCATCTCGGGGTGCATTTGTAAAGATTACAATTCACAGGCAGCTGCCCTGGGCCAGGCACACAGGACACACTGTTATTATTAAGATCGCAGTCACAAGGCTTTCTCAGGGGGAAAGTGTACTGCACAGCAGGGGGCTCCTAAGGCACCCACCTAGGATGGGCCCTGTCCCCAGCCCTGCTGGGGCAGATGGCTCACAGGTGACCATGTTTTCTGCCCCACAACCAGCTCTTCCTGCCCGAACCCAGACTGGCTCCCAATCCAGCCTCCCTGCGGCCTGTGCCTCATGGGAAAGGTCAGCCTTCAGATCCTGGTTCTCATGGCAGCGAGGATGGGCAGGTGATGGGAGCTGCAGCAGAAATGGTGGCCTTGGCAGGCTGGGCAAGGCCATGCAGGGTAAGATGAGGGGGCAGTGAGAGGTAGGGTGGCCAGCAACCATGTGTAAGGCACCCCAAGGGCCCTTCCATGTTTCCTGAGTGGGCCTCTCAGCCTTGTGACCCGGGCCTTCAGCTAACCAGGCTAATGCTGAGGATGTTTCCAGGAGCCCTGGACAATGTCACCCCAACACAAGCCACCAAGAACCCTGCAGGCCAATGTCCTTTCAGCAGATGTCCCCATGGGGACAGAGGCCTTTCTTTCCCTCTCTACCCCATGGGAAGGTCCAGGCTGAATCCAAGGGGCCAGTTAGGCCAGCCCACCATCAACCTCAGGTCCTCAAAAGCCTTTGCCATAGTTTCACTCCTCACCCCGCAATCAAGCCTCACAGGCCAAGCCATCTAAAGAGTAACACCATGGAGCATCTACAATAATGCCCCTCCAGGACCACAGATAGGGCTGGCCTAGTGCATGTGAGGGGGATCCCTCAGAACACCAGCCTCACCCCAAATAGACAGGGGAGCCCTTCCTGAGCCCAGGTGGGCAAACGTAGGTTCCAAGAGGCCACAGCAGAGAAGTGACAGAGCAGGGAATGGAACCCACAAGCTGGTGGTCCTCTGGGCCTGGCGGGGAGGGGCGGCTCACCTGGAAGATCTTCTGCACGATCCAGCCATGGTACTTCTTGAGGGCCATCTCGTAGGCCTTGGTGGCGTTGACTCGAATGAGGTTGGGGTGGTTCTCGTCCCGCTCCCCGTCACAGATGCTCTGCAGGAAGACCTGGATGAAACGGAGGCCTCTATGGCCCAGAGAGGAGATGACTCTTTAGGACCCTGCATGCTCCTGCCTCATCAACAACTCAGCAGACCCCTGTCATGGTAGACCCTGATGTACTCTGAATGAAGCACCTACTTGTGAGTCAGGAATACGTACACACAAAAGGGAGCAGTTACTCCTGAACTGCTATCCTTATGCTCTGCTTATGTGCGGTAAGACCCTTGGCTCACCTCAACATCTCCTGAGCACCTTCTATTAGGCCTGGTGCTGGCCCATGACAATTGTCCCCACGGTGCTATAAGATCCATGAAGGCAGGGTCTGGGCCTACCCCATCCAGTTCTGGGTCCATATAGACTCTTGTGGGCTCGTGGGTGGCAGGTAGCCATCAATTTGAGGAATGAAGTCATAACACTTGCCCTCAAAGGACTCACAGAGCACAGACTGTGGACACACCGGGCACACTGGCAAGCCTGGCCCCATGCCCACCTGGGCTTCCTTTCTCTACTCTGCAGCCCTTGGGATCTTTCTAAATCTCCTACACCGTTCCTCTGACTGAGACTGTGCAGCAACCCACTGCCCCAAGCCATGGTCTGCATCCTCCAACTGCCACTGATGCCCTTCCTCAAGGGGCAGGGTGATGCTTTGAAAACTGGAGAAGGGTGTGGGTTATAGTTGGGAGCCCAAATCGAAAATCTGATCAGTGCCAGCCCTTTACTGCACATCATCTCACTTCTTGCTCCCCATGGCCCCAAGGGGCTCAGCTGGGCACGATCAGCCCATTTCACAGAGGAGAGCACTGAGGCTCCCCAAAGAGGCTTGGTCACTGGCTGGGACATGGACCCAGCCTGTCTCACCCCCAAGCTGGGCTCCTTCCTTTGCTGCCCCCCACTGTCTCACTGTGGTCCCTGGATGAGCTGCTCTGCTCCCTCCCTGCAGGGGGGTGAGGATCAGGCAAATCCTCCACAGTTGGATTAGAGCTCTTGTCAGTCAGGGGTCAGCCTGGGGCACGGAACTGAGAATGGGGCTTGATTGCGGCCCTGCACTAGCCAACCACCTCTCCTGAGCCCCTGCCTCTCCCAAGCCCCATCGCCTCCTCTCCTGGCTCTAACAATCCCTTCTCTACCCAGCAGCTGGGATGATTTCTCCTAAAACCCCATCTGATCCTGTTGCTAACCAGCTTCCTGCCCTTCAGTGGCTGCTACCCAGGACCCCTGATCGGGCTGGAGCTCATCCTTGTCCAATCCAGCCTCATCTTTCCCCTGCCTCATATCCAGGGCCCTGGCTGGACTAGACTCTCGAGGAGCTGCAGAAACATTGTGCCCTCCCACCTCTGCAAGGCCTGGTGCCTTTGTCCACCTGGGACCTTCCTGCTCAGTCTCAGTATCTGCTTGGCATTCCTCATCCAGGAAGCTTTCCCTGAACTGTCTCTACTCCAGGCTCTGATATTCTGCTGTCAGGATCTGCCACCAGCCTGACTCTCTCCCCAGATGGCGATGACCTAAGTGATGCCATTGAATGGTGCCTTGTTCAATGAAGCATTCCACACGCTTAGCACTGTGTATGACACATGGCAGGTGCTTCTCACAGGCTTGACCTGTTGGCAATCACCAGTGGCCAGCATCTGCCACCTCAGTCATCTGGCTCTGCCCACATCTGATTTGGGATGTGAACAATCTAACTGCTCTGAACATTACCGCCTGCCTTGCTCCTCCTGAAAAACCCACAGAACCTGCTGGATGGCTGGACCCAGGGGCATTCCTGAGGCCTGTTGGTCTCTTGCTGACAGACAAAGATGGGTAGCTCAGTGGGGTCAATTCCTTAAACTGTAAGGGTGTTAATTACAGCCCACCTACACCTCCGATGCCCACCTCACCGTTCAGGGAGCTGACTCTCCCTGCTCCATTTCACCAAAGAAATTGTGTGTGTTTGTGTATTGGGGGCAGGAGGTGGAGGAGATTCCAGGAGACTGGAAGGGAGATGAGGGAAGAGCTCCCCTCCTGACTCCAGGTCTCAGAAATGGGGCAACATCGGGAACATCTGTGGGTCAGGGAATGGGTCCCTGGCTTCATAGCAGCTGCAGGGAGCTGTGGCATCTGCACAGCTAAAGGAGAATTCTGTAGCTGGTAGAGAACAGCATGGGTTCAAACCAGAGTGTCCCACCCCCAGCCCATAGAACACCTTTGTGCCAATTAGATAGAACTCCTCTTCAAGATGCTGTATTTCTGTCAAGAAACTGTCATGATATAAAAATCCATCTTTTGCACAATATGACCAGCCCTAACCAGGACACCTCTGTGCAGTACACAACCTGCACAACCGTGCTTAGATGAGCTGGACACGTGATCTGGTCTCCAAAAGCCCCCATGGCTGCCTCTGTGAGATGGGGAGGGTCACCACATCTAACTCACAGAGTGTGACATTCGAGCAGGCATATATACATGAAGAGCTTAGCACAATGCCCAGGATGGAGTATGCACTTGCTTGCGATGCCTGTGATGAAACTGGAAAAGGAAGTGTCACCATCAGGCAAGCCTTGGCCCTAGGAAGGCTTTTCTCAGTCATTAATTAGCATCACACTAGAAGGGCACCTTTGCAAAAGAAACGGAAGTGACCTTCCTTCCTAGACACTGCGGGGCAGTGGGAGGGTTTGCTTCCCATCCTCTGCAGTACAGGGCCCCAGTCCCTGCCACCCAAGTCTGTCACCTTTTCAGCCACAACAGCGCCAGCGTGGCCCCCACTTTGGGCCACTCTGCTCCGTACATTTCTTTCTCCACCTCCAGGATATTCTGCAGGGTCCGGAACTTGGCCGGGTTGGTGTCATACACAGCTTTGATTTTCTGAAATGGAGCACACGGGGTTTTCCCCTTGGAAAAGCTGCCCTCAGATGAAACTGGCCAGCGCACACACTGGATGGAGGAGCACTCTGCCAGCACCTCCCTTTCCTTCTGGCCCATCGAGAACAACAGGGACAAGACTTGTAACAGTAACTCCACAACTGTTCACATTTATTGGGTGCCTCCCATATGCCAGGAAATGCAAAGTGCTTCATATGACATGGCAACCCTGATGGTGCTCTGTCGTTATCTCAATGTACAGTTGAGGACACTGAAGCTCAGAGAGGGGCAGTAATGTGCCTAAGGTCACACAGCTGGTCCAGGTGGGAATGGGTCCCAGCCCAGACTGGCTCCAGAGTCCATGTTCTCCAACCACTATTGACTCTATCTCAGGTGCCAAGTATCTGAAGTTTCACTTTTGTGGACAAGTGAAAATCTCTTAGGAGTCAAAGATGTCCAGAAACAAAGGCCTCTGATCTGGAGCCAGATAGGCCTGGGTCTGAATCCCAGCTCTGCCTCTTACTTGCTGTGTGACCTTAAGTGAGTCCTTCAACCTCTCTGAGCCTCAGTTTCCTCATCTACAAAAAGGGATAACAACAGAACAAGCCTGGAAGGGCTGCTGGGATGAAGAAATGAAATAATGCCGTGTCTCCCAAGTCCCAGGCTGGGCCCTAAGTGGGTCCTCATAGGGAAGGGTCTATGGCTGAGGGGATGGCATCAGGAACTCCCAGGACTCGGTAAGGAGAGAGCCAGGCCAATGCCACCCATGATCTTTGGAGTTTACTTCTTACTTGGTGAGGGTGGATGAAAGAACCAGTAGGTTCCTTCTCGGAGTCAACCCTTTGGACTTTGGTCCCAGTCAGACCATGACTAGATGGCATGATTGCAAAGGAGGACTGCAAACCTAGGGCCCCAAGTTAGATGAGCTTGGGGTCCCAGTCTCCTTCCCCATGTCTGCTTCTCCTTCCTTGGGCTGGGGAGCTTGCAACTGGGAGCAGGGTGCTTGTGCCCCACGGCAGGGTTAAATTCCTGATGCAGGTTTGGAGCTGCAGGTGCCAGGCCAAGTACATACCGTGATGTTGCCACTTATGTCCGCCTTGATGGGAGTAAACACTGGGGACCCAAGGCAATCTGGGGACAAAATGAGAAGAAAGATTTAGATTCCCAACAAGGGTGATCTTCAGGACTACCACAGACCATGGACACCTGGGAACATGAAGGAAGGTCATTTGGTGTGTTTAAGGGAAGGCAGAGTTGTTTACAGGTGTTCTAAAGTTTCTACAGGCAAGTAAATTAGGGGAGTGCTGGGCCCCAAAATAGTAAAATCAGTTTTTTACTACAGGACTTGTCAGAGCCTTCAAACTGCACGTGGTATATCTAAGGGACAAACCTTTTGTGGTTTCTCCCTAGAACACCCCTGTCCAACAGAACTTTTTGCAATGTTGGAAATGTTCTATATCTGCACTGTCAGATATGCTACCTACAGGTGGCTACTGAGCACTTGATAGGTAGTGAGAGAGACTGAGGAACTGAGTTTGTAATTTTATTTAACTTTAATTCATATAACTTCAAACAGCAACATGTGGCTGGTAGCTGCCATACTGGTCAGCACAGCTGCATAGTATCATGAAGAACCAATGCTCTGAGGGTGGGGCCTCCGAGTGTCCTAGACCTCAGGAAGGAAAGAGATGGGAGCTGAGGCCCTGCACCACCCATTCCTGCCCCCCTCCTCTGTTCACACCCCTGTGCCTGCAAGTTTCAGGTCAGGATGGCCACACAGGCAGGTCATGCTCTTCTCTGGTCTAATCTTGTCCCTCCACTGCCTAGTGAGCCCTGTCCTCCTCCTCTCCTCACCCCTCTCCTGCCAATGCCTCACAGAGGACCTTGGACTGAACATGTCTCAGCAATACAGGTGAGGTTCTCAGGGTCTAGACCGGAGGGCACAGTGGCCAGCCACTGTGGCTGGCACTGGCTGACCTTGACGTGGGTTTTGAGCTCTCAGACTGAGAGCCTCATTTACCTAGAGCAAAAACTGTAAAAGTATACAGACTCTTCAAAGATTTTTATCTTACTTGTAAGTATGACAATTTTTGTCAATGTTCTTGGCATTTGCCTGTCATGTAACTATTTCACCTAATAGCTGTATACAGTCCTTTAGTCCTGCTGCTGCCGATGGCTGGTTGGGACTGCTGCTCTCTCGATGGTTTTTAGTTTTTTATTTCATTTTATAATCTAGAGAACAGTACTGGCAGGAGGAAGAGGTTTGGGATCTGGGTGTTTGCGTTTTTTCTCTGTCTGTGGCATTTATTTATTGGCTTTGCAGCACGTTGTTTGGGTGGAGGCTGATGGGCCAGCAAAGTGGGGGAGGGGGTCCTGTCTGGGTGCTGGAGGGAAGGACAGGCCCTACTCAGAAAAGACCGAGGCCCCAGTGGGGTCATCAAGCCCCAGCCTTTGCTGGAGAAAGCTGCCCCCTCCCCCGCCAACACAGAAGCCTGACGGTTTTTTGCCTAACTTTTGTGATCAGGGTGAAGGAAACCACCAAACCACTATAAATGGAGACTTGTTCAGACTGTCCAGAAAGGGAAGACGAGGGACCAAAGCTAGAGCTCCACACGCACCCCCTGACCCCCAGAGCACCTGCCCCGAGGTACACCTCCCTCTCACACTCTGCCCACCTACGGAAGCCAAGGAACCCCAGCTCCCCGCCCCGCGTCCCAGCTCCCCCTTATGGAAGTACGTGAAAAGAAAAAAATGCAAACAGTGGAGTTTTGGCTGGAGCTGCTCCCTCCGGCTATGACTTTTAACTATGTAATAATGTACAGAGAAAGTTGGTGTTATAAAGCTCTGCCTGGCTGTGAAATTTATTTAGCTATTTTAAGCCCAAGGGGGAAAAAAACGAATAATGCTCTGAGAAACCCATCTTGGCCAACAAGGCAGATCATCACTAATTAACCAGCTGGCCAGGAGGGAGGATGAGGAATCTCACCAGGTGGGAGAAGAGGGGTCAGATTTATCGATAACCTTCTCATTTGCCAGCTTATAAGGAAGAAATGAGCTGATGACACAGAGGTTCTGTAGTTCTGTGCCTCTACATAAGAACCTGGGAGAACACACCAGCAACAGGATCCCAGCCACAAGACAGATGGGGGAGACAGAGCAAGGAATGGAGACTGACCCAGAGGCACGGTGAACTTGGGCTTGACTACCAGCTCTGGGCGCAGTGGCAGTGTGGGCTTGGGCATGTCCCTTCGGCTTTCTGAGCCTCCTGTTTCCCATCTAGCAAAAGGTGCAACAGAATCAATCACAGATGTACGACAAGGATGACCTGAAACAATTCAATTCCAAGACACAAATTTTGTCCATGTCTGGAATGGGAATGTTCTTAAACGAAGGCATATTTCCTTTCTTGGTGGGCCATGACGAAATGGAGCATCGTACTACAGGTGGCACCTCCGAGCTGATGGAATGCAGACTAGGAGTGCAATGCCTGGCACTCGGGGCTCAATGTGGAATGTGAGCAGCCCACTGCCTGCCTCTGCTCCTTCCTCCTTTGTCACCCCTTTGGCAAGCTATCACAGGGACCAGAGGCATAACGCCAGCCAAATATCCTTACAAGAAGCAGGGCAGGGAGGAAACGCACAAGATCTTTACTGAGCAGGCTCAACATGGACTTCACCCTCAGTGCCTGAAGAAAGACAGCTGCGTTTCCCCAACACCTTCTCACTGTCCACCACTGAGTCCAGAAAAGTGAGCTCGCTAGCCTGATACAGAGCCCAGAGCAGGCCAGAGGCAGTGCCAAACCCACAGGAGGGAAATGCTAATGCCCAGGAGGCCAGGCAAGGGCCTTGATGTGCACCAACTGACTGCACAGGCTGAATTCCACCGAAGGTGACCCAGCACAGCTGGCTGGCCACCTGGAATATTCTAATTGCAACTGTGAAAAGAGGTACATTGGGGAAACAGCATTAGACACTTTAAATGAAATATCCTGTAACCTAATAGAAAGAAGGTAGGCTAGGGATTCAGACAGACAGGGTCACTCCCTACCTGGGCAAGTCTCGCCTCTTGTGTGCCTCAGTTTCCTCACATGTTTAATGGAGCAGTAACAGTACTTATTTCATAGGGTGTCATAGGAATGAAAAATAATGCATGAAGCACACTTAGCAGAGTGCCTAGTGCATGGTGAGCCCTCAACAGATGGACTTTAATCATTTTTATGAGTTCCTATCATCACTAGGGTCAGACTCCATGGTCCAGCAAATGTTACCCACACGTGGAAGCCACCAGGTCCCTGGGATCCTCTGCTGAGTGGCAGTCACACTCATCCTGCACCCTGCCACTCTCCACTTTCCTTCCTGAGGCCTCTCATTGGGCCTGGCCATGGCCTCGCCCAGCTGTGGGCTCCTGGCACACAGCCCTCTTGCTGAGCGGTAAGCCGTCTCTTCTCAGCAAGTGAGCCTACTTCCAACACCTGTGGGTGCAAATCTTCCCCCAAGGGGCTATGCTGGAGCCTTTCTTATTGTGGCCATGTCAAAAGCTGCTCAGAGGTGCTGGGCCGGGGGTATAGGCAGCTTAATCCTGGGTGCTCTGGCCTCCCAGACAGGCCTGACAAGAGAATTAATGAGGCAACTCCTCCATCTCACCCTCTAACCTTGCCTGATGTGTCACCAACCTTGTTCTGTGGAGGCTGAGCTGGGGAGCTGTGCGATTTATTAGCCCAAGTAGGTGTTCTGTCCTGGCACCCGACCACTGGCTCCCCTGAAGGACAACATATTCTAGACTTAAGTAACAAAGGAAGACAGCTACATTTTCCTTCTTCTGCTAGTTACTACTTCCCTCTTGAAAAATAGTCGGGGGCCGCCACTTCTGACCCTCCTGGGGTCAGGCAGGTGCCACAGGTGGGCTGGGAGTGGACTGGCAAAATCCATCCAAAGGGACCGCTGCTCCTCAGTACCAGCCAGTGGCTTTTACATCCTCATCTTTCAAAAATGTATAATGTCCAAAGATTTATACTGGATTGATGGATGGATAGAGGAATGCATAGATAGGTACAGTAAAATACTAATGGAAAATCTAGGTGCAAGGTGTAAAAATATTCACTATAAAATTCTTTCGACTTTGCTGTATGTTTAAAATTCTTCACAAAAACTATTGAAAAAATCATGTCAGGTGGGTTTTTATTTTTTTTTGTTCATGAAGTTATGCTTCTTACTTCTACTTTTTCTTCCAAGCCTGTTTCACGGTTACAGCAATTATATTTACATGCATAATGCTTTGTTTTACTGGCTGTCTCACCACCAGGCTTGAGCTCTGAGAGGGCAGGGACCAGGTTGCCTAGGTTCCCTGCTGTGCCCCCAGCACCCAGCATGGTGCCTGACTCCAACAGTGCTTGGATGACATCTGTGGAGTAAATGAGTGAATGGACTTTAGGAAACATGGAATCTATCAGTGTGTTTCCCTGCCAGACTTTTTTTCTATGCACTTTCTCATAGTTTAGATCAACCCTATGCCCTAGTTTTAAGCACCAACCCAACCAAAATGAAAGAGAATTTGTAAAGGGAGTTGGGCCTCAGTTTCCCTGCTTGTAAAATGACAATCCTAGTGGGACATCCCTGCAGGGTTGCCATGAGGGGGACAGGAGTCATGCACACAAAGAGAGCTCAGAATGCTGGTCATGACTGTTATTACTGTAACAGGCTGATTTTCAACCTAAGCCTTCAGACAGAGAAGATACAAAACGAGGGCTCAGTGACAGATAATCATCAACCATGGGTGGTTTATTAGCTTTTCTCAATGACTCAGGTCATTTGACATGCATTCTAGAAATACAGAAAAATGTTATTCAGCTTCCTTGGCTCTGGAAATGGCTCTTGTGCAGTTCTGAGCAGCCCTACCCTGGTGGCAGTGAGAAAGGCTTTTTGTTTCATGTTCTCCCGACAGTGCACCATGAGGGTCACGAGGCCACTGTGGTCAGCAGGAGCTGGGCCCCAACAGCAGCTGCTATTGTTTGCTGTGGCCACTACACAGGGCCACAGCTTCTGCTCAACTGCAGGGGAAGGACGCAGTGCCTCGAGTGCACTTATGAAGCTGTGCCCGGCAGAAGCAGAGAAGAGTGGAGAGACAGACCCCAG